AGCAAATAGTGATGGGTGGTGAGAGTTGTAATTCTACAACTCTTTAGTGCCTCCTTATTCTACATAATCCCTCTGAAATTAGAAGAAGGGGCTGGCAAGAAGATTCTGTGGAAGCTGCAACTATGATTAAAAACACACACAGTTAAGTCATTGGCCTACTCAATCATCCCATTTGGTTCCTTTTAATGGCAGAACAGGGAGTCAACAGTTCCCCTCTATGCTTAGGCTTCATGCCTGCACATTGTTTTCTGCTGCTGGGCATATTTCCTGGCAGCATTATGGCGGTATGGATATGGAGCTGCATTCTTGGAATTTGGGGATGATATGGGATCCTTGGCCTTCTGTTTTGTTTTCGTTTTTTTCCCTTTCTCATACATTCCTCACATTTGGAGCAAATTTCACTTTACAAAGTATAAACAACAAAAGGCAGAGTCGATCTAGTTGTCTTCACAGCCACAGAAGAGAAAACCTCCGCTGCCAGTGGATCTTTTCACCAGTGTAATGGGGTGGATGGGTTTTGAACTGTTTTACAATACCTGCACAGCTTTCTCAAGCTTAGTCTTTAGTGCAGCGCTTAAAATAAAGTTGTTACCCATTCTTGTTTAATTCAGAAGCACTTCAGAACAATAGGCAAGAGAGAGATTTGACCAGACGCTTTTGCATTGCAGTCTGACTTTCGCAGAAGAACCTGGTTACCTAAACCTCAGTCAGGAAACATCAGCAAGAGCTCTCTTTATTTATTTCCCTAAGGAATGCATACCCCACCCTGCCAAAGAATTTTCCTATGCACCTTCCCACACCCCAAAGCTTTAGAGTTACTACTCTCCCAGCTGCTAACACACCTCTGCTACAGCTACTGCAATGTAGCACTTGCTTGTACCCATATGAAATAAAATTGAGTTCCAGCAAATCTCTGCTTGCTTTGGACAATGCTGGAAATCTAGTTTAGGTCTCGAGATATTTTCAGAGTCCCTACCCTGTCAGCTCCCTACCTTATCCTTTATCACATGCACAACCCAATAAGACAACTGGGGGTCTTGCTTTTGATGTGAATGGTTCATTATGCACTTTATTACCCACAATAAGGAGAGTGTGGGAATTGACTTTGAAGCCCCAGACCTGCTCTTGATAGCAATTCAGGTAGAATCTGAATATTCATGTCATGTCTGAACAGGTTATATACATCCGTGTTTAACATTATGCAAATTAATATGCTTGTTTTGCATTATCCAGCTAAATTTCAGGCATTATTCTAAACTGATTGCAAATGTTTGCAGTATTGGGGTTGGTTTTTGTTTTGTTTTTTTAAAGAATGGAGGATTATAATGGCAAATGGGGGCAGAGTACGAGTAAAGGAACAGGCGTTGCTGTTTTTGTTACAGGAGGGATTGGGATGCTGAGTGGAGACTATGGGGGGTTGCAGACTTCCAGAAATATTGCAAATTGAGTCCACTTTAAGGGTTAGGGTTAGTGCTAGGGAATCATGGGAATTGTTGTTTTTTCTGAGACATTGAGCCTTCTCTGTCAGAGAGCTCTGGTGCCACAATAAAATACAGTTCCCATATTCCTTAACCCTAACCCTAAAAGTGGACTCAATTTGCACTATTTCTGGCAGTCTGCAACCCCCCTATGAGAGGCAAAGCAGATTGTGCTTTGTGTTCTTTAGCTGTTAATGGCACACCAAAGGGAGATGGACTGTTAATCTTATTGAATAGTAAAAAATTGGCAAGACCAAGAAATTTGTTCAGTATTTTTTTGTCAAAATATAGTGATGTATTATCATATAATGTAATTAATGATAATAACTCTATTTCAAATGACATTTGACACCTTTAGGCACATTCCAGCTCTAGCAGATGTTCATCACAATTATGCAAAGTGTTGGAACTGGAGAAGTTGGATGACTTTTTAAGTTATTTTCAGTGTTGCTTGAGCCTTATAAAACTCATTAGTGCTTGGGGGAAAATAATAAAAGGGTACTAGTATAATAATGTGAGTGGACCACTACAAATAGCTTAATCCTATGAGACAATCTGGCCATTTAAATCCATGTTTTTGGTAGTGTAACAGCTGGTGGTGGAACTCACTGAGCTTTTCTCCTAGCAGCAAGCAGGAGGGTTTTAGCTCATAGATATGAGTAACGTGATAGAAAGGAGCTTTTGCAGAAGTCATTAGGGTTGGAGTTCTGACGTAAGGAATGCACATTCCTTTCCAGAACATCTTGTTTAACCTAATGCCTTTATCGTGTTTAATATTAAATCATGTATCCTTCTAAATCTCTATTTTAATGTTAAAAACAGTTTGTCTTCCATCTCCATAGTTTTATTACTTTTATGGTTTTTTTTAAAAAAAATAAATCAGTGAAGTTTTACACAGCCTTTAAAGGATGAAACTCATACCTTTGCAGTGGTTTGCTAGATGTTTCATTCTGCTAGATTTTGTCTCTTTTCTCTTGTCAGACATTCTCACTGGTGGGCATCACCATATAAAGCTAAGGTTATTTGAGCCTCCATAACTGTTCATAACAAAGTGTGGTTATCTGGGTGCTTATATTTAAAAGCCTTGGGTATTTCGCATCAATGGTCTTTTTAAATCTCGAATAACTTTTTTTTAAAAAAAAAATAGGGCTCGCTGTGGATAGAAAAGTATATGCTGATGGTTTTATGCAAGCTGTGGTACAAGTAGAGATGTGAAGGCCTTGAAAGCAAAAAGGAAATTCTGTGAAAAAACAACAAAACACCTTGGGTTTTCTCTCAACCCCCCTCCCCCCACCGAAGGCTTTATTTTTTGTAAAAATTAGAGAAAAAAGGATTATGCAATAAGTTACTTTAGAAGGGTGAATAAAATATTTAAGACAAGATAGTCGCAGGTTTATTCATCCACATTATTTCTAAAAATTATGTAGCGGCTAGAATTTTATGTAAGACAATGTACAGTGTCTCACATCACTGCAGTTCCTGATCTTGTTTTCCTTTTCTCTGTTATTTTTATGAGAATGAATTCTTTATGCTTCTTTATCAGTATGGAGGACTAGATGAAAGACAAAATAGTATTCTTATGAGGTTGATTGTCCGCTCAGTTTTTATTATTTGTTTTTGCACTGAGTGGGACGAGTACCAGATGCCAACAAGTACCAAGTGCTGTCGGCTATATTTCAGAGGAAAGAACTGGTAAAGACACCTCTGACTATTCCTTGCCTAAGAAAGCCCTATGAAATTGTAGGGTCACCATAGGTGATTTGAAGGCAAACACACACACACACACACAGCTTGCCCACCCCCAAAAAACTTACCAAAAGCCTATCCTCACTGCAGAAGTAATCCATTTTGACACCACTTTAACTGCCATGGGTCAGTGCTATGGAATCTCGGTTTTTGTAGTTTGTTGGGGCACCAAAGCTCTCTGACAGAGAAGGCTAAATATCTCACAGAACTACAGTTCCCAGAATTCCACAGCATTGAGCTATGACAATTAAAGTAGTGTCAAACTGGATTATTTAGATGGTGCAGACGCAGCCTAAGAGCTTCCTTATAATTCAGGTGTTCCTTGCTATTTGGGCCATTTTAGCATCGTTTGTAACAAAAATTAAAATTTGAAATAATACTAAACTAAATCTTTTCACTATTTTCTGAATAAACTATACTTTTAATACAGTAAACATCATCCTTTTATGCCATGATACTTTTATGACTTTCAATCCGTAAAGTATGCTAATATTGCATTTTTCAATTTTCCCAGAACTTTCCAGGGGGAAAAAGTCATTTTTTTCTGGGGGGGGAAACATAAAAATGGTGGTGGTGGGATTCCCCATGGCTTCAAAATTTCTGGAAATTTTACCACTCTAAGTAAGAGAGTAACGCAGGGAAGTAATAAAAAAACTTGAGGTTTTTGCCATTCCCTTTCTTATAAGCAGAGCTCTTTGACTCCATATTAGACAAGGATTTCGGATAGTTTGAAGTGTAATTTGTATTACTGGCTTTTTATCCATTTTCAGAACCACCAAGCTATCATAGAAACTGAACAATGAGGACTGATAATATTGATGGGTAAAAGCAGGACAGTTCTATTTGGATAGAGACGTAGATTTGTGAAGTCCTTATCTCACAGTATCAACTACTCCAGCTTTTCCACTTGTAGCAGTAAACCAGTATTCTTAACACTACTCCTGTGTTATCCATCCGCATCAAGTCTGGTCTGCAGCTGTTTGTCTTGAGAACAATCTGCTGCTCAGGTTTCAAAGTGCTGTGCTAGTTGCTTGAGAAAGCGTCTTCTCTTTGGAAATAAATTGATGGGCATTTGTGGAAATGGCTTGCAACCTGGGAAGCTCCTCTTGCTGAAGAGACTGAATGTTTAATGAAGTCTTGGCGGCATTAATAGTCTGATCTCCTTTTAATGCACCCATCAGACCAATTCCTTAGCTGCTTCTGCTCCGTATACTGTTGTTGAAACAAAACTCTTTTTACTTTTGTGTCTCAGTGTCTGGCAGTAAAATGGAATATGCTGATCATTTGTATTATATATCTACTGCTATGTTGGTCTCGGGAATCAGAAGACTATATATACATCTCATATCTTTCCAGATGTCCACCATCCATTGACAGATTTAAGTATTCTAGGTACAATTCATCTTACTATTCAAGAAGCCTCAATGTTTATGTACAAGATATCTCTCCTTTCTTTGTTTTCTTTTCTACGAGCCTCAGCTTAAATACCATATTAAAAATCACAAAATATTTTTCATGATTTCTATCTTTAACACATTGGAATGACTTTGTTTCAGGGAAACTGTTCCATAAATTAATACTCTCTGTACTTAATGTTGTTGTTATGTGCCAGCAAATCATTTCCAAGAATATTTTGTGATTTTTAATATGGCTACCCTAAGGTGAATGAACCTGTTGTGGGGTTTTCATGGCAAGTGTCTTCAGAAAGGGTTTGCCATTGCCATACTCTGAGGCTGAGAGAGTGTGACTTATCCAATATCACCCAGTGGGTTTCTATGGCCCAACAGGGATTGGAACCCTGGTCTCCAGAGTCATAGTCCAGTGCTCAAACCACTATAGGATCTACTTAAGACTTAACATGGTAGCAATTTTCTATCTAAACTTGTTAATTAATTTATTTATTTCATAATGCGCAGTTGGCACCGTTTCATTCTAGTACCAAGAGTCAGTTTTAACTTTTTTTTTCTTCATGAAGAAACCATTTATTAGATGGATCTTTTAAGAAACAAACAAAAATCCATATTCTACAAATTGCTCACATATATTCTAATTTACTTGCTGGACATATTTGTATTCCAGTCATACAATGTGGATTTCCTGGACAGAGAAAGTAGATTTACTGAATATAAACATTTTCAATTTTAATTTTCCAGAAAACTAAAGTGCAAAATAATTGAATTTCCATACTCCATGCACTCTCGACCTTGGTTTCTGTCCAAAGCAAATGGGGATGGGGGGGGGAGCCATGCTAGTCTGTTGCAACAAAAACAAGGGTCTTGTGGTACCTTAAGGACTAACAGGTTTTATTTGACAAAAGGTTTTGCGGACTGCAGACCATTTCATCAATTGCTGGGAAGTTTGCTTCACCTGGCAGATCATTATATACATGGTCAGGTGAGGATGTGAATGAGTAAGGAATGTAGCAATAGCAAGTTCGGGCCTTTGCAGACTGCCAGAAATAGTGCACATTAAATTGAGGCACTGCCCTGGCTCAGTGCTAGGGAATCATGGGAACTGTAATTTATTGTGGCACCAGAGCTCTCTGACAGAGAAGGCTCAATGTCTCAGAAAAAAATACAATTCCCATGACTTCCTAGCACTGAGCCAAGGCAGTGCCTCAATTTAATGTGCACTATTTCTGGCAGTCTGCAAAGGCCCTACATGTCTATACCACTTATCAGTGCACTTAAACACTCCTTAGGCAGTTTACAATGTGCAAGCCAATTGCCTCCAACAAGCTGGGTATTCATTTTAGCAACCTTTAGGAAGGATGCAAGGCTGAGTCACCCCTGAGCCCCTGGCTGGTACTGAACTCACAACCTTGTTGTTTGTGAATGAGTAGACTAAGGGCCTTTGCAGACTGCCAGAAATAGCGCAAACTGAGTCCACTTTAAGGGTTAGGGTTAGGGTTAGGGAATCATGGGAACTGTATTTTATTGTGGCACCAGAGCTCTCTGACAGAGAAGGCTGAATGTCTCAGAAGAAAAAAAAAAAACAGTTCCCGTGATTCCCTAGCACTAACCCTAACCCTTAAAGTGGACTCAATTTGCACTATTTCTGGCAGTCTGCAAAGGCCCTAAGTAAGTAGTGGGGTTTTCAGCAGGGCCAATCCAAACCATTTGTCAGGAACCAGCAAGCATGCTAATCCACACAGTCCAGTGGTTTGTTCAGCAATACAGTACATCCAAACAGAGATTCTTGGCTTGCCTGATAGTGGTTTTACTTCTAGTTTACTCAGGCAAAGAGCAGGACCGCAGGAAAGAGGCTTGTACCACTGTGCTGTAGAGGACTGCCATTGTACACTGATGCTGGTGTCATTTTTGGACCCTGTACCATGCTGTGATTGGATGACTGAGGGATGCAGTGGTCAGTAGTGATTTGGTAGCTGAAGACTGTTTGATACAAGCTCACAGAGGAGAAGTGTGCTTCTTTCCTTTATAAAAATTTTGTTTTTGTTTTTGACTTGGAGTGAGCAGCTGTTCCCAGCTATTTGCGTATCACAAACACTTTCCTATGCAGTTTCTAGTGTCTTAGAAATCCCTGTGCTATTCCAAGTGCCTCTCTGTAGAGTCTACTGTAAATTATGCTCCCAGTATGCCATTAAGTCGGATGCTACCTGACATGCTTCAGCTTGTGCCTTGGGTGCATTTTGAATTGTCTTCTGTTTGCTGAAGGATTTTTCTGAGATGCCCAAGGTTATTTATGGCCCAGCGTATCGAATTGGTCACAGTATTTTTTCCTATGTTGGTTGTTGTCATATGCATTATTTTTATCATTTCAGCACACGTGCACTCTATGCACACTATTAAGAATGTTAAAATATGAAAAAAGTCTCCTGAGCTTTAATAGTGCGGAATAATTAACCCACAATAAAAGAGAGCTCCCATAATAACAAATGTAGTTAGTAGAATTCAAAGATATAGCCGTGTTAGTCTGTAGAATCAGTATGTAGAGAGATCTTGTAGCATCTTTGAGACTAAGTGAAAGAAAGAAATTGGCAGCATGAACTTTTGTAGACTTCAGCCTACTTCCTCAGATGCATTTAGTATAGTAAATTTAGCTAGTATTTACTAACTGCGTTTACAACATTTTGTTTGTAAATGTTTGGGGCCAGAGACTGTCTCCCGCCCCCCAACCAAGCCCAAATTTCTTCCCCTTAGTTTTGCTTGTCACAGAGGGAGAGAGGGGATGAGGGTTGAGACAGGTTGCATATGTTGTCAGTAGTTGCAGTTAAAGCTCTGTGGACAGCTGGGAGGGTTTTGCCCTCTTGGGATTTACTGCCACGTGGGAATCCTCTTGATTTAGTAAAAATCATTTTATGGCATTATCAGACAGCTGCAAAGTGTCAGAGGATTCTCTTCCTGCATCTCAAGAATGGCCTCTTCTGCGCTCCTGGGTATCAAGTAGCCATGGCTTTGGGGTTTGTGGTGAAGCGGTACCGCTGTGCACATGCCAGTTCCTTCTACTTTAGGTGGGTCTCTTCTTTCAAAATTGTTGCACTACAGAGAATAGCGTCAAGCCAGCTTAACAAAGAAAGCAGTTCTTGCAGGCTTTTCTCTTTCTGTTGCTTGCCTCATTTGTAATCCTAGTTTACAGAAGACAATAAGATTGAAGAGGTTTGATGTGATGCTATTTGAGTAGAAAAGATAGGCATCTGCTGGTGCTTTGTCTCACACCGGAATTTGCTTTCCATTCAGCATATGCTATTGCTCACCTTAGTGTGTGCATGAACACACAAGGGAGAATGTTGCTTTTTTATTTAATGTGTGCTTCTTTCATTCTGCCTTAAAAGACAGACTTCCAGGTAGTAGCTGTCCTTAAAATTGTCTAAAGAAATATAATGTGTGGGTTATGATACTGCTTGGGTGTATCAGAGAATACCTATGAATAAGAATCTTTCAGCATGAACATAGTATGTTCAATACAAATGAGCATATTCCCGTTCTGGCACTACATTTTTCTGTATCTTTCAGTATATGTGTGATACCTGATATTATTAAAATATATTTCATCTTCCTGAGAGAGTGTTAGAATTTCACTCTGGAGTTTGTGAGTGTTTGCTGCAAAGCTGGTGTAGATGCTGGAATTCTCACTTTTATTTTGTCTTTGAAAACAACAACCATGTGGAGCAGCTCTGAGTATGTTTTTGGTTCTGCTGTCAGGCTTGGCTAGCTGCTTTCCTAAACAAAAGTTGTACTTTTGAGGAATTCCGTACTTTTACAAATATTTTCTTGTCAGGAGCTGTTCTGTCCTTGCTGATATTTGAGTTTGATTACACAGAAGCATTCCCATATCATGTCACACATTTCCAGGCATGCAGGGTGGGGGATCCCAGCCTATGAAATACCCTTCCATAAATAGTTGCAACATGATAGGGAGAACCCATCTCTTTAACAGAAACTAGGTCTTAAAGTCTAATACTGAAAGGCTTGCCTGGTGTCTCTGTTTAATGGGTAGTAACCTGTGTTAAGTGTGCACAATAAGGACATCTGCAATGAAACATTGCAGTTATAAACAGTGAATTTTAGGTCTTTAACTATAACTTTGTTTTTAAATTAAGTATGCCTCTCTCAAGCAAACAGATTAAAAACGAATAGGATTCAGATTTATGTTAATAACATAGTCCGAACAGATTTCACATATCTAAAATGTCTTTTTCATTGAAAGGAAGTGTTTTTCAAGCAAAAAGTTAGAAAAGTTCTGCATCCCAGTCTCTTGTTTTTGCCGGACGGGCCTTTATGAGTCCCAATTTTCAGATTCATAAACTGAGAATGAAAGATAAATTTGCCCATGGATTAACAAAGTCATAAACCAAGCTGAGATTTGAATCTAATTGTGTCATATTTTCTGCCTGCTAAATTATACTTACCAAGGATATACCAAGATATGTAATGAGACATAAGACTATAACCACATATCTAATAAGAGAGCAGCTAAAAGAACAGTCTTTAGCATTTTTAATTAGATTATTAAATCCAAGGAGAACCTACCTGTGGGAACTAATGCAGCCTATCATTAACTTCCTCTGATTCTTCTTATAATAAATGGTGAATGAACTAGATTGTGTTTTTTTGTTGGTAATGTGCTAGTACCTATGTCGTGTTTGCTTCTGAGCAGTTTCCAACCCTTATGAATTATTTTTAAGAGCAAATTGCCCACCCCACGCAGTAATGGCAGTAAATTGAAACATGCACTTTGGAGTCTGGCTTTTAAATAGGTCAAAAGCAGCAGGAGAGCTTCAGAAGCAGAGAGCAATTTGATTTTTAACCCTTCCACATCCCTGTTCTTGAATTGCTGGCTTAGGCCTTTTGGGCAACTAAAAAAAAGGTATCTTTTCAAATGAAGACTTTCCTGAAACAGAGCAGTGACACTCCACGGTGTGTGCAAGACAGAAAACATCCATTCTGGAAAAGTGAGATCTGTGATGTTGGCTACATTGATATCTGGTAAGCCAATTTGCTAGGTGAAACACTCAACCACAATGCAGAAATGTGGAGGACGAGCATGTTCACCCTTATCTGTAGGGATTTTGTAGCTGGCTGCATGGTTGTGGAGTGGATCATGGCCTCTGCTAATGTCAAATGCCTGGGTTTTCAGTACTGAGCACTTGTCCATTCTGCAGTTGTACATCTTTATGATGCTGGCTGCTCTGCCCTTTGCTGCTGTTTTCTGGGTGCTGAAATATAAGGCCAGGAATACCTCCCTCACCATCCCACCATGGCAATGGGATTCTACTTCTGGGTTAAATGCTCAGGTTAAGAGTCTAAACCTTTTCTCTGCCTCACTTTCTGGTACTTCCTTGACACCACCATATTGCACTAGTAAATTGCTAGATTTGCTTCT